CCCACCTTCTGCCCGAAGTAGAGCCGGGTGAAGGTGAATGTCCGCAGGCGGGCGCTCTTCTCCCGGATCCGGGGCTCCAGCTTCTCCCGGAACTTGCTCTCCATGACCATGCTGAGGTAGGGCCAGATCTGGGACAGGATCTGCGGAGACGAGAAGCGCCCTTGGCGGCCGGACCGCGCCCCCACGGCAGACCGCCGCCACGCGGGGCAGGTCCCAGCTCTCCACGGCTGCAGCCCCACCTGCCTGCCCACCCGCCCGCCATCCACACCCCGGCCCGGCCATCCCTCCGTCCAGCGCCTGCCAACGACCGTCGGCGTTCCCATGCTCATGTGGGCCGCAGGACCCCGAGATCTGGTGCTATTCCGCAGAGCACCGTGAAATAGTTACTAATATTTTTATTTTTTTGAGTTGGAGTCCCACTCTGTCACCCAGGCTGGAGCGCAGTGGCACAATCACGGCTCACCACGGCCTCGACCTGGGTTCAAGCGATCCTTCTGCCTCAGCCTCCCGAGTAGCTGGGACGACAGGTGCATACCACCAAGCTTGGCTCATTTTTTTTTATTTTGGTAAGGACAAGGTTTTGCAATGTTGCCCAGGCTGGTCTTGAACTCTGGGGCTGAAGCCATCCTCCCGCCTCAGCCTCCCAAAGTGCTGAGACTACAGGTGTGAGCCACTGTGCCCAGCCACGCTCACTAAATTTAACTGACGAAGCCCCTCAGTTCTGTGCTAAAATAGCATCTCATTCTACATCGAGGTGTCAACAAAAAGGAGTGGCTGCCAGAGGTGTAAGAAAACGCCGACAGACGAGAAAGTTAAACTGTTTCCTGGGGATTCGATTTTCCAGCAGCTGGAAAAGGCGGCCTCTGGCCAACGTCTGCAGCAGAAAGACTCACTGTGCCACTCTGGGAACCAAATGCAGGGCTCGCAGAAGGCGGGCGGCAGAGACAGTGGTGACAGTGGCAACCGTGGGGGGAAGACAGGCAGCGGACATGCTCTGGGTGGGCACAGGCGTGCCCCCTCTTCCCGCGGGCTCCGTTTCCAGATCGCCCCTTCCTCCCTGTGCCCGGATGAGCCGTCCTGAGGAGCCTCGGGCAGTGAGTCCCAGGCCCCCGTCCCCGCCTGTCCCAGGGGCCTCTCCAAGCCCCAGGCTCTAGGTTCCAGGGCGGTCCCACATCCCCGCCTCTCTGGCGGCCTCCCTGGGGACCTCCTGGGGAGGAAGCTCGCAGGACACTCAGCGCCCTCGCCAGCAAGCACCTACCAACCCTCCAAGATGGGCATGGAGCCTCCCCGCAGTCCCGCATTCCCAGGCACCTGGGTGGGTTCTGTGTGTCAGCGGAAAACAGGAGCAGGCAGGGGTCCGAGAACCGGCTGGCACAACACAGCGGGACTCCACAGGGACGGCCCAGAGGCCGAGGGCCCTGCGGGAAACTGCAGAAACCCGGCCATTCCCTTAAAGTGGCCGCCCACCTCCCGCAAGTTTTCCTTGGAGGCTGAGAACGGTGTTTGTTTTGAGACAAGGCCTTCTGTGGCGGCCCAGGCTGGTCTCCTGGACTCCAGCGACCCACGTTCCTTGGCTTCCCAAGCAGCTGGGACTGCCGGCGCGAGCCACAGTGCTGGCGAGGGAAGGCCGTGCATGCACGTCTCGGGGAAGGTAAGTTGAAAATAGCCTCCGCCGCCAGAAAGTCCTGTCTTACACCCAGCCTGAGTCCTTCCTGCTCTGGGCTGAGCCTCCACCCAGGACAGAGGCCAGGTCTGCACTAGAAAAATTCCTGAGTTGGAGCCTGGAGGCGGAGGCCACAGGGGAGCCTTCAGATGGAGGCCTCAGTTTGGGCAGGTCTGGGACGGGCAGATTCCCGCGGAGGAGGCATTCCCGGGAGAGTCCAGCAGGGCCTCCAAGGGGAATGCCCTGATGATCTGACAGCAATCACAGCAGTGACATCAACGGGACCCGCTGGGCAGGCACTAGTTATTGCATTTTACAGACAAGGAAAGCAGCTCAGAGACGCTAGGCTGCCCAAGCATGCACAGCTGGTGGTGTCTGACCCAGGCAGGAAGCCAGGCGGGACCCAGCAGCTGCCGTCAGCGGTGTCTCCTCTCCCCAGGAAGGAGTCCCTGGCCTGGCGGGCAGTGAGGGTTGCACTCTCCCCTATACTTCCATTTTCTAGCTCTCCTGCCGTGCCATGGATTAATTTAAAACTTATTCATTAGAATATTTTTAAGAAAAGCAAGCCAGGCTCAGTGGCTCAGCCTGTCATCCTGCGCCTTTGGGATGCTGAGGTGAGTGGATTGCCTGATCGAGACCCGCCCGGCCGCGAGACCTCATCTCTACAATAGATCAAAAAACCAGCCGGGCGTGGTAGCGCACGCCTGTAATTCCGGCTACTTGGAAGGATCGCCGGAGCCCAGCAGGTCGAGGCTGTGGTGGCCGGGAGCAGCCACTGCACTCCAGTCTGGGCCACAGAGTGAGACTCCAACTCAAAAAAAAAAAAAAGAGAAAGAAAAGCAAGCCATTCTGGTGGCCGGCCAAGGGGGATCCCCAAAGGAAGCCCGAGAAGGGCCTTTGTCCACGTGCCGTGCGGCCCCCGTCAGGCTGCGGCGGTGACAGCGCCGGGCCATGTGCCGAGGCAGGGAGGACAAGGCGGGCAGTGCGTCCGCGGGGCCTTACCTTGTTGGCCCACTCGACCCGCTCCACATCCAGGAAGTGGATCTAGGGAACAAGAGGGGATGTGAGACTCAGGCCTGCACCGCCCTGGGAACCCAACGAGCCTGGCGGAGGCTGGCGGTCCCGTTGGGCCCAGGTGGGCCCGGCCGCTCCCATCCTTCCCCCCTGCTTCCCCCCCGGGGCCACTCGGAGCGGTTCTGCCCTTGAGGAGCCGGCGGCAGATAACCCGACGGCGCCCGTGGGTGGACCACAGTGGAGGCCAGCACCTGGGCCCGAAGGTGCTCAGGGGCGTTTCCGGGCCTGCGCTGGCAACCAGAGGGGACGCCACATAGTTTCACCCTGCCCCCTGCCCCCAGGGTGTAGGAGGGCTGAAAAGCACTCGAGTGCATATGCAAATAACCCCCCCACCCCCACGGAAGCCCAGGACCCCAACATGGACTCCCCCCAGATAACACCCAAGTTTGCTCCTTGCAAATTCCATCCCCGTTATTTGTCTTAATGTCACACACACCATGTAGTCTCCGTAGAAAAATGCATGCGAAAGTTAGCCAGACCAAAGGAAAAAGCATTTTGGGGAGAGTGCCGCCACCCCCTGACAAACACCTAACAGGCTGATGCTTTTGTTGGCAACCGGGGCAGGGCCAAGGGCACCGCTCTCACCTGCCCACCTTGGCTCCCAGGAGCCCCTCAGGCCACAAAGCTTTCAACTAGTGGTCACAACCCCCAGCCACTCCACCTGCGGGGGATGGCTGAGCAAGCCCAGTAGGGGAGAACAGGGAGGGGGAAGGGCTGGAGGGACAGCTGAGGGCTGGTCTCGTGTGACATGAGCCAAGAGGGGTAAGCCCCTCCTGGCAGGAACCTTGGCCTCGGCCCTCTCTGCTGGGCTTCTCAGGGCCCTGGGGTTTTCTGGAAAGGAGAGACGTTCCAGTGTGCACGTGCAGGGCGCCTGGACACTGGCATGGCGGTCACGGCCATCCCGTCGCCACGCCTCAAGTCCCCCGAGCATGAGGCTGGCTTGAGATCAGACTCAGAGGGGGCCGAGACCACGCGCGGAGGGAGGGCGTGGCCTCCCCATCTGGGGACTGTCCAGGCACTGAGGGGGCGCGTCCGTGCTGCTCACCCTACGCGGGCCAGGCCCTGAGCTAGCTTAGGGCTCCCTGAAGACCCTGGCCCAGACCGCTTGCCCAGGACGAGAGCCATTCCCAAAGCAGGGGACAGGGCGACTGACTTCTCGACAGAGCACAGTTTTTGCCACTTGGAGAGGTCAGAGGGGTCTGGAGCCTCTGGGCCCCTGGAACATCGTGTCGTGTTCCCAGCCTCAGTTTCCCCAGCCGCAGGCAGTGGCCTACGCCAACTCGGAGATGTCAACGTTCCCGGGTGCCGAAGGAAAAAGATGGCCCAGTCTCCAGAGGTGGAGGGGGCCTGGCCCACGGGAACGCAGGGGAGCAAACCGGGGGGGAAGCCCGGGCGGGAGGGTGGGCAGGA